CTTGAAGAAATTAGTAACTCGTATATAAGCTGACTTGAAGAAATTAATAACTCATATATAAACTGACTTGAAGAAATTAGTAACTCATATATAAGCTGACTTGAAGAAATTAGTAACTCGTATATAAGCTGACTTGAAGAAATTAATAACTCATATATAAACTGACTTGAAGAAATTAGTAACTCATATATAAGCTGACTTGAAGAAATTAATAACTCGTATATAAACTGACTTGAAGAAATTAGTAACTCATATATAAGCTGACTTGAAGAAATTAATAACTCATATATAAACTGACTTGAAGAAACTAGTAACTCATACATAAACCGACTTGAAGAAATTAGTAACTCATATATAAGCTGACTTGAAGAAATTAATAACTCATATATAAGCTGACTCATTTTATTTACTTCTTATGTTACCAATGAATACAAAACTCAACAAATAATTATAAAAACTGAGCAATTTTTGTATCAGAAATCAAAACATGAACAAATAATTAAATCAAAAACAAAAAAGTTTTATATATAAATAACACCAAACCAAGTAACATAAGTATAAACAACAACGAAAAGCAAAATGAATAAAAAATGTTTTACCTTTTAATATGTCTACTGAATATCTATCATGCTCCACAAAGTGTTACATTTATCTAACTACATTCATTCTAAAACTATGTAACTAGATAAACTGAGCTTGTTGATGCTCTCCAAGGAGTAACTTATTTATAATTAGTTTTATCCTAGAACTAGATAAACTGAGCTTCTTGGGGCTCTCCAGGTCAATGGTTTTCAGACTAGTGTAAACTGTTTTTTAACTGAACTTCTTAGGACTCTCCAGTTCAATGGTTTTCAGACTAGTGTAAACTGTTTTTTTACAATTGAGCAAACATACTATTGTATTAAGTTTCAGAAAAGTAACTGAAGGCTTGAAATAATTATAGAAATATTTCATTTAATTTTGTTTTGAGAGCAACAACATAAAGATAAGCAGTAAGTAGAGCTTCTTGCAGTATTATTGTTTAGAAAACACATGTACTGACATATATATATATTGGATTAAATAATAAATTCTGGGTAGTTTCCAAACAGTTCTTGAATGTATTTCATTGATGCACAAAGAAGAAAGTACGATCATAACAAATTAACATAAACGCTTTTCAACACAGAATACCGTGTTGTCTTATCGAGAGATTACAATTACACCGAGACAAATATAGAAACGTATCAATGAAAGACAACCTTGGGATGTTAAGATGATTTGGTGTTTGTTAGGATACAGAGTAAGGTTCAGATGTTCACACCAGTTGTTTCATAGTCTTTCACATTCTACACGATTCTGTGTTGCTACTAATCTGGTAGATGTATAATGTGTAAACAAATCTGAGATGGTTTGGTGTTTGTTAGGAGACAGATTAGGTTCAGATGTTCACACCAGTTGTTTCAGTCTTTCACATTTAGATTTGTTTACACATTATACATCTACCAGATTAATAGCAACAAAGAAAGTTTACTTTTTAAATAAAAACTGACAGATTAACCATTTTTGAATTAATGAAATACAAAACTGTATTCAAATCTGGTTGTTAGAAAGTTTGAACTGAATTTAACCAACCAGATTTTCACACTGTTGGATTTTAACTTTAAAACAAAAACTGTTAATCAACTTTTAAATGCTATATATTTGTCCACATACTGTCAACAGAAACCTAAGGATACATTGAACAGTTTTAGGGTATACAGATGTACCTGCTATATTTAATTTCAAATTAATAAGACTTAATGCTATTTTAGATGTGCATAAAACACCAGTATAAACAAAACATCCAATGCAATCAAAAAGTTAAGCTAGGAATGTGAAAGTCTGGGTAACTTCTAACTTTCATTCAACTTACACTGAAAACAAGTCTTAAAAAAAACTAACAGACATATATATATTTAAAATTTATAAGTTATGTACATCCATATATATCTAACCTATGCATTTGATTATCATAGCCATTAATAAACAGATCTAAACACAAGCGTACCTACTCCTGAAAATTTGCCTAGAAAAACAAAACACACAGTAAGATTGAAGTGTGATCATTTCTGGTAATACTTTACTCATAAAGCCCATGAAAAACTGAAGATAAGCTTATAAAAACAAATAACCTTGTCGAAATGCTGATGTGTTGCATTATAAGTATATATATAATAAACCATGCAAGTTCTGTTGATAATGGAAGATTATCACTAAACATAAAAGTAAAGATAACACAGTTACATGTTGATGTATTTCTGACATAAAAGTTTAATTAGCTCAGAAGTGGAAAGAAAGGAATTTTATATTGTCTCTTACAAGAGAAAAATGATGGTAAAATTTTATTCACCACAATTTACAGCACAGGAAGTAATCTACTTGTGTTTTCAAAAAATAAAGATTCAAATATTGGTGAATCTTGGCAAAAAAAAAGTATAATTTTCAACTGACTACGTATATGAAACTAAGTTAATCCATCATCTCACACCTCTCTCTCTCTGTTATAGAGGTATTAGGTCTAACTCATTTGTTTATCCTCAAACTATACAACTTACACTTGTATGTGGTGATGTTTAAGAATATCAATTTAGCAACATGAAAATCGTGATTTTTGTAAGATGAAGTTTTAAGCTACCAATGATGCTTTAGACGAAAACTGAAACAAACACACACACACAGAGAATGGGAAAGTAAATCAGCACACACTACACAGAATGGGAAGGTAAATCAGCACACACTACACAGAATGAGGAAGGTAAATCAGCACACACTACACAGAATGGGAAGGTAAATCAGCACACACTACACAGAATGAGGAAAGTAAATCAGCACACACTACACAGAATGAGGAAAGTAAATCAGCACACACTACACAGAATGAGGAAGGTAAATCAGCACACACTACACAGAATGAGGAAGGTAAATCAGCACACACTACACAGAATGAGGAAGGTAAACCAGCACACAGAATGAGGAAGGTAAATCAGCACACAGTACACAGAATGAGGAAGGTAAATCAGCACACACTACACAGAATGAGGACGGTAAATCAGCACACACTACACAGAATGGGGACAATTATGTAATACTCTTAGTAGTTAAAGTGAGTTTGGAACAATTCATAATACATTAACTGTTGGAGCTTTCAATATCATAACAATTATGTAATACTCTTACAAGTTAAAGTGAGTCTGGAACAATTCATAATACATTAACTGTTGGAGCTTTCAATATCATAACAATTATGTAATACTCTTACAAGTTAAAGTGAGTCTGGAACAATTGATAATACATTAGCTGTTGGAGCTTCCAATCTAACGAAGTAAAAAATGATCTCTTTTAGAGTTATTTGCTTAAAAAATAACATATATCAATCTTAAGTTTGTATTGTAATGTACACAATTATTAACCTCTAAAATGTTCTTGTGTACTGGGTGTTACTTACTGCTGATTTAACTTCCTCATTCTGTATGTGCTGATTTACCATATGATGTTAACACCTTTTATTAGTTGGTGAAGCATGGTTATAATTAATTATACTTGTTATAAGACATTAGTATTAGGCCTATTACATTTTTTGAATACTACATTCTTGTTCTAGTGCCTTAGGGATTTTTAAGAATTAGAAGGGTGTATTATAATAATAGTATTCCAAACACACTATGTTCACCATATCCATTCTGTCGACAATAGATAAAACAAATATAGTGTGGTTGAAATACCATTATCATATCCTTTGGTAATTCTTAAAAATCCCTGAGGGACAAGAACAATAAAGTAGTATTTAAAATATAACAGGCTAAATACTAATGTCTTATGACAAGTATAATTAATATTTTTTACTATACTTTAATATAATAAATAAATGTATAATTTCTAAACAGAAATTCAGCAACTAGCATTATTTGTTAAATGGTTTACACAACTAAATTAACTGAAGGAGAATGAACAAAGTGCTTTTATCAAGTAACTC